CTAGCAGTCACAAGAAACTGGGAGAGGGAAGGAAGGGTTCTACTCTAGAGCCCTTGGAGGGAATGCATCTCTGCTTGATTTTGGGCTTCTGGTCTCCAGAATCCTGAGAGAATAAATTTATGTTGTTTTAAGCCACCAAGTTGTGGTAATTTGTTATGGCAGTTTAGGAAGCTAATAGTCACCAATGACTTCTGTGTTGCACGCCAAGACACGATACCATTTATCGCTCCCATCTTACAGCAGTACTTGACTCAGTCGATTGTTCTTTCCTTGAAACATCTTACAGTCCTGGCTTGCAGGGAACCACTTTCTATTGGGGTTCTCTTCTCATTGGGAATGCTTCAGCTTAGGGGTTTTTGCTAGTTTTTGCTTCTGCCTAACCTTTAAATTACTGTTCTTCTCCTTCTACAGTCTCTCAAGTAATCACATCCATACCCATGGCCCTAAATATACTGAAGATTCCCAAACTGACACCTCCAGCTTAGACCTGCTGATAGCTCCCATCATGTGTAGACCACATGTTCTTGACACAGGAGCTCAGGTGTTTCATAGTTGTCTCATATATGAACAAACTATACATGCACAAAAGAAAACTTCCTATCTTCAAGACACATTCCTCCCACCCACCCCCTAAAAACACCTGTTCCTTCTCTGGTTTTCAACATCTGAAAAAAAATGGCATCTGCACCCAACACAATTACTCTGCCAGAACCTGAGAGTCATTCTTTCCCTTACTCTTGCATCCAATTCCTAAGTGAGTCTTGTCAACTTAATATGTAAACTATATCTTGAATCTATTCACTTCTCTTTATATGTGCTGTCACCATCCTCAGAACGTGCTAACGTTATGTCTCATCTGGTCTCTTGCAATAGCTTCTAACTGATTCTTCACACAGCAGCTACAGTGATCTTTTAACATATCCGGTCATGCTGTGTTCCTACTAAAAGCCCTCCAAAGGAGTCCCACTGAATGAATTGCAAAATCTAAACTCTAAGAGCTTCTTGTGACCTTGTCCTTGCCACCTCTCCCTCTCTCCTGGCTCCATCCACAATGGATCTTCCTTAGGGTCTAGGAACTTACACAAGCTTCTCGTACCTTGGACCATCTCTGCCTGGGATTCTCTCCCCACACCCTGTGCCTTCCGCTCACTTCCTCAGAGAGAACTCCCTGACAGCACTTCCCTCACATGCTTGCTAGGTTTCTCCTACTTTCTCTCGTAGAACCATAGCATTTGCCACAATCTGTAATTACACATTCGATCGTGTATTTACCATCTCTCCTACTGGGCTGCCTCCCGAAAGCAGCTGGGATTATATGTTTCTTATCACTGAGCATAGAGTGCCTAGCTCAGGGGCAGCCACAGCCAGGATGCTCATAAATATTTGCTGAATGAATCACTCTTCTTTTCGACTCCTCACATGTATGTCCTAGCAGGAAGTCTCATCCTGTGAGAACACATTCACCCAAAAGGGAAAAATAAAACACCCAAAATCTAAATTTTATGAAAACCCAAAGACTTTGTCTTTTTTTACAAACATATAAATTATTTTATTTACAAAGCCATGTTACAAAAAAAAAAAAAAAAAAAAAGGAAGAAAAAGAAAAAAAGGCCAAAAAGAAAAATACAATCGCTCACTGGAGAATGTCTCCAGGCCTGATGCTGAACCATGGCGGTATCAGTAGATACATGTTTGTTCTTTCCTTTTTACAACTGTAAGCCATAGAATTTACTATTTACACCTACTTTAGACATTTATTCTGCTTACAATATCACAGGCATGGAATGAATTCTGATAGTGCTAATACATAAAGGTGCGGGACAAAGAAGGAAAATACTTAGTGTTACAAAACATGGATCATAGAAAAGAAACCCACTCCACGAGTGTGGCATTTGTTTAGAATGTTTGGACATGCTTTTTTCAAAATTCTTCTGGAAAAGGTTTTAAAATCAGTAGTAGGAAAGGACAAATGAGCAGGTGCAAATTCTTCTCTGTGCAACAACAGTTATTTAATATACCCCATGACTGACCAGCTACGTAAAACCCACAGTTTTGTTAAAGTGCCATGGGCCGACAGCATAACAAAATAGAAGGTGTAAATAGAAAATTTCTTTTTTTCCTTTTTTTAAAACAAGAGTTCACTGAGAATCAGCAATAATAGAATATGCTGTATAAACTATTCTCTACAAAGGTTGATCAGCATTATTTACAATTGGTACATTGATACAAAAGAAGGCATACAAGTTATCCAAGTCGCTTTGTTTTTATGGCTGACAGGTCTATGCATTGCGTTATGCTTAACAACCAGAACTTTCGAGCCTCCGTGGCTGGCAGCAAGTCACGAGATCTTCAGGCAAATGGGGGTGTGCAGTCAAGAGGCTGGGAGAGAGGGCTGAATGGGGGGGCAAAACAGAAGTACCCAAAGGGGATCACCCTCATAGTGCTTTATACGCTGGTCCAGTTGAACTCCATTAAAACAAAACCAAAGAAAACCTTTTATTTGCATTCCATTTTTCAGGCTGTGAGTTTTGAATACATCATCATAAAGTAAACCTGTGGTTGACTGTGAAGAAAGAAACATGGTGGGTTTTCCCTTTTTGCTCAGTTTTCCAGAAATGTCCTCACCTTGGTCAGAGCCAGTCTTTCACCAAGTCAGCAGCATTCGGTGGGGAGCCTCTTTATTCCAGCTTGCAGTTCAAGATGCAGAGAGCTAAAATGTTTAAACCTATTACTGAATTGCTCCTTTAGTCCCTGTCGAGACACTATTTCTCAGAAGCAGACACTTCATCTCTCAACCTTTCTTGTCCCTCTTTGAATGTAAGAGTTTATAAATCAGAGGGTTATTTTGTTGCTGAGATTTTTTTTTACTCCTGAAACTTTTACAACTCAAAATAAATTATAAAAACAGACTTCTAAAACCAAACAAGACAAAAATTGTGCAAAAATAACAAAGATATGTACACACTTTTCAGTCTGAAGAAATGTACAATAAAAACATAATTCAAAGAACATTTTAAAAATATAAACATTGCTTAAACTTTCCTAAGTTTCATATTGTTTTTGAAACTATTCTGGTCAGTTAGCTCTGTAATATAGTAAAACATAAATTATTACAAAATTAACGCTATAAAAATTTACTTTAATATCTTCTAAACTTTTTTCAAAGGGTCAAATCTTGCTTATAACTTCTTAAACATTTATAAGTCTTAAATCTGCCTTAACCTTTTTTTTTTAAAGAAAAAGTAACAACCTTCCCTTCAATTTGCAGTCTCTTTTTTCCAAGATGTAAATAAACCAGCATATAAGTGCACTTTTAACACTGTAGAAATAAAAATGAAATCATCTGAACTAATATCCTGGAACCTAATATCAACTCATGATTTAAAAAAAATCTTCATTTTATATTAAAAAATTTTAGTAATCCTATAAGAAACACTGTCAGTGCAATTTCATTGATGCAAATCACTCCATTTGCCTCCCGTCTTAGTAAAATCCAATTGTGTGGTGAAACTTAACAGTAGTCTGATCTTTGGGTTGGAGGATGGGAAAGGAAAACGCCAGGGTAGGGATGAAGGTTTGTGTCCAACTGCAAAACTGGCTTTCATTTCTGATTTAGGGATGAAGCAAAAACTCCTATTGTCTGTACTGTTATATCATTTGTAGTTACATGATGAATAGCACAGAACATTTCTTTTATATTGTGAGTTACTTTCCTGACTGTGATTCCTGATTAGAGCTTACAGTACTGATGTTTCGTTCAAAACTCCAGTGTGAACAGTTTGTTAGCTGCAGAGCTCCAGGAGCTTCTCCCTTTCCAATGGCTCTCCCTCACCAGGGAGGGGCTTGGCCTTACCGCTCGCTCTTTCCCAGGGCAGCTGTGTCTGAGCTGGGGCCTCCGCTAACCCAGCACACCCCGATGCACGGGTGTGCTGACTCACAGGGCCTGTGGCCCAGGGCGTGCAGGTAGGCGAGCCATGCTAGTAATCATTTTCACCAGGGTTTGATATACAGCCCTCCATGGAACCTTTCCCCCAGCCCCTCCTTCCCTCTCTTTTCCTCCTCTTGCCTAGTCCTGGAGGGCAGCCTGAGGATTTCCACAGCTGCAGGCACTGTGCCTTCTCCAGAGTACCTTCCTGGAGGCTCCCGCCTTTTCCCTTGGGTGCTTCCCTCCCTGACTTGCCCAGCTTTGGGGCCTTGTACACGATGCCCAGGAAGGCGTTTTGCAGCATGGATTCCTAACAAGCTCAGATGACCCAAGCCACACAGTTCCCACCATCTTTTGAGGGATATCTTCTCTTAACCCTGATTCTCTGCTTCCTGCCACCTCCCAGGCCCATTCCAGACCTGATCCAGTATATCCTCTCTGAGCTGCACAGCTGGACAGTGGTATTGGGTAAACCACATTGTTCAAAGGTCGCTTTTCTCAATTTTACCAATTGCATCTGGCTCCCGCTGTGCCGGTGCACCATAGAAACCTGATGAGTGCACTCGGCCACCTCCCACCCTTGCTCTCCGCTACCCAAACACAGGCTGCTCCACAGCAAAGTGCCCTTCCAGCATACTGTCCAGAGAGGGGCTTAGGAGAGGCAGCTTCCTCTGATGGCCTCGGAGACCCAGTGAGTGGCAGGTGGGAGGGGATGGGAGGGGAGCGATGAATGGGTGAGGACAAGGAAAGGAGCACTGCATGTGCTCAAGTTCGAGTTTCTGACGATGCCCACGAGGAACTGACGTCCTGCACTGTCTGTTCTTGTGGCTGGAGCAAAAGGATGTGCAGTAGCTAAATCAGAAGCTGGAGGAGTGGAGTGACCTCAAGCTTGGAAGAATGTGTACACATGGCAAACAAAAGACAACGGAAACAAAACACTGGTATTGTTTTCTGTAAATCTCAAATTTGCGTTCTCTTGCCTTTTCCTTTTTCTCCAAAACTAAAAATTGGTCTTTAAAAATAGAAGAACAAAGGCCAGAGCCACAGGCAGGGCCCAGGAAATGGACTCCCCCACTGCCCACTCTCCCACTTGCCCCGCCCCCCCACCTCCTGGGTGGGACTGGGTTGGCCAGGCATTGGTTTGGAAGTGGCTTCATAATCTTGTTACGGAAGAGTCCTTATCCTGCCGGTTCTGTTTGTAGTCTTCTAGAAAAGAAAAAAAGAAAAGAAAAGAAAAGAAAAAAGAAAGGTTTGGGATTACCATGAGGACTTAAAAACAGAGTGAGTTTTCTCATCTGTAACAAAAAGGATACCATCCCAACTGCTGCATCCGGCAAAAGGCAGCTGTAATGAGCAAATGAGGGGATGGCTGTAGAGGACTCCATAAATGTGCGGTAGCCACAAAGATCGTAGCTGTGGAGGAAAATGCAGGGACAAATCCTGTGGACATTCACGGGGTTTTCTCCAGGAGAGAGGACGGGAATAAGTGGCCTGTCTTCAGTTATTTTTCTATTTGTTCACTGGGGATGTTTCCCATCTAACCTACAGACAGCATAGAGACTTATCTAAGAAAGAAGCCAACTATTAGGTTAAGCATGGAGACCTTGGAGACAGAGTCTTGGTTCGTTCATCTTCATCCGTAAGATGAGAATAATCATTTTTGCCTCTCAGTGTTTGTTAGAAGGTTTAAATGTATGTAAAGGGTGTTGAGCACAGCACCTACAGGGTAAGCATTCAACAAATGATAAGAATAATTATTATTATTACATTTGTTAAAGCCGACTGCCAGCATTTTGGGCTATCATGGGTGCGTCTGGAGTTTTGGGCAAGTGCACTCAGCCACCTCTGCCGGAGGCCTTCGGTAAACAGAGGCAGACTGCCGGCGCATAGACACGCCACCAGCGCAGAAGGTGGGCGGCAGGTGCTCGGGCCCTGAAAGGGCCATAGTGACTCAAAATAAATGAGACTCCCTCCTAGATCTGGGGAAACAAAGACTATATCCTTATAATCTTCATCCCAACATGACCCCAGATTTGTGGGGAAACCCCAAAGGCCAAAATGCAGACAAATGCACTGCAATTTGTTATCCATAAAACCTAAAGCACATCTAAGACAATACAACACAACCATATTTGTGTTTTTTGCAATCATGTATAACATACAGAACCCCATCTCCTACTCTCTCTGGTCTCCCCTGGGCGCATACACACTTCATTGGAGAAAATCATTTATACATTGACTACTCTCCTATCTCAAGTTTATAAAGAACTCTTAAATCTACCCTGAATGTTCATACCACGAGGCCTTGAGAAAGTACTGACTGGTATCTGCCATGAGCAAGGCCCTTTAGTCTATATCATCTTATTTAATTTTCACAATAACCTTAGGAGGTAGGCATTGATTTTGCCATTTAATAGATGAAAAAAATTAGACTCAGAGAAGTAATCTACCTAATACTACACAGCTGCTAATAATAATAAGAGCTAAACTTGTGTGTTTATTATATCAGGTATTTTCTGGAGGCTTTATGTGAATAAATGGCAATACTCAAAAAAGCCATATGAGGTAGGGGCCATTATGATCTTCATCTTAATGTAAGGAAACTGAAGCACAGAGAAGTAACTTGCTCAAGGGAAAAGAGTTAATAACTGCAAGTTTTGGGAGCCAGACAACCATACTCTTAACTGGAGAAGAGATTTGAACCAGGGTCTGACCCCAACACCCACATTCTTTCCACCCTGCTGATGCCCTAAGAACTTTTGCTCCCCAGTAACTTACCTGTCGGCTGTGTCCTGGGCTGGACATGCTTGAGGGGCTGGATTGTGACAAAGCTAGGCTGCTATTTTTCCCAACCTGAAAGACACCAGTGAAGCCCTACTTAGATACCTGAGCCAGCCTGGGAAAGACCCACCGATCCCACGTGCTGCTGGTGAAAGGAGAAGGGCTGTGTAATAACATGCTCAGTCTCCTTGCATCCATTTGGAACTTGTGTTTCCACTTTAAATGGCAGTGAAAGCGAGCATGTTTCAGGGCGGGTACCTTGATGAGGCCCCTCTCGTCATGGAGGGGCACTCTTAATTCTGCTTCCCAGATGTAGATACTAGGAGTTTTAGGGATGAGGACAAAGGTATCTGGCTAGAGGCTTGCCCCCTACCCCCAGGAGCATTTAACTCAGCAGACGCCCAGCTTTTCCATCAGTGGCCAAAGGGTTATACAAATTCATCTACCTCTGAACTCAGTTCCAGACCCACCTTGTCTCTAACCCAGACTCCTTTGGACCAGCAGGGGATTAAAAGCCTGGATCTTTTTCTGGGTCAGTGATCTTGGCCAGGAGACACAGTGTACACCTTACTGTTCCTGAGAAAAATAGCCAAATGGCACGGGTCTTCCCTTTCGAGTGGGAGGCTGAGCTGGGCCCTCGGACGGAGCACTGGGAGTGCCCAGGCGTGGCTGTCCAGCTCCTCCCCTCCTCGCTGGCTTCCTTGGCACCACCTATTGGGCTGGTCCTCAGGTGAGTACTGTTTCACAGGCAGCTCCTGCCTTTGGCCTATAAGAACTGGTCCTCTACTTAACTCAACTTTGCATAAAGACATTTGTCTTACATTCACAGTTTTGGGTTTTGTTTTTTTTTCCATTTAATACTTCTGTGCAAATTCTGGTCTTACACCTATCAGATACAATTAAACAGGCCTACAACTCATCCCCAAAACACATGTTTACCTTGAATTTCTCAACCTCAAGCCATGTACTTTCCAACCTTCTAAGAGAATTAAGATTCCAAAGGCTTTTCTCCAATATTTGGGAATCACTGGTAGTCACCTGGGACAAAATCTTTTCTTAACGGCCTGAGGACAAGCACCCGGGTATCACCTGCATTAGAGAGCCAGTGCAGGCCAGACCCAAGGCAGCTGTTACATTCATCAGCTTATTTGATTTCCTTCCTGATGGGCACTCACTGGTTAAGGCTCGTCTGCTCCTCTTACCACTGGTGGTGACTGATTCATAGTGTTTACTGAACATGTCATATGTTCCTGCAGACCAAAGGGTCAAAAGAGCAAGCAACATTTACTCAATAAGAGGTGCTCCATTAACACAGAGGCATGGGGGGGAAGAGCCCAGACTCCAGAACTAAACTGCCTGGTTTAGATCCCAGCCCTGCTATTTATTTGCTGTGTGACTTTGGGTCCATTCCTTAATCTTCCTGTGCCTTGATTTATTCATCTATAAAAGCGGGTGGGTGATAACAGGTAAGGAATAAATAAGTTAGTATCTCTGAAGCACTTGGAACAGAGCTCATCCCATAAGCATTAGCTGCTAGGACTTTCTCTAAAATGGGTGATACTACAGCCTTGCTGCTCTGGGTTGTGGCCTGGCAAACCAGCGGCCTGTTAGAAATGCAGACTCCCAGGCCCCACCCAGGACCTGCTGGCTCAGAACCTGCATTTTAACAAACACCCAGGTAATTCATGTGCAATTCAATTTTTGGCTATGCCGTCCACCCTGAGACCTGGAGGTGGCACTAATCCACAGTTCAGCCTCAGCAAAGGGCTCTGTGGGTGCTGGACCCCCTCCCCCTGCACCCCTGGAACTTCGGCGTCAGAAGGCAGCACGGGCTCTAGTGAGATGACCTGTGTCTCCCCCTCTCTCACCTTGGCCTCGGGTGCAGCTTGTCTGGCCCTTGGGATCCAAATTTGCTGTTTTTCAAGTGTTTACTTGTGATTTGTGAATTCCCCTCAAGATGTTCTCTTCGTGAGGTTTTAACAAGTCTCATATAAAAATGACACAAAACAATAAAACATCTTTTTAACAACTGCCTCTCATCTCTCCCAAGTCCTCATCCCCAGACGGGGCTAGGCTTAGGGTCCGGCCCACTTAATCCTGTAGCCCTGAGCCTGGGGCTGCCCTGGCGCACATAAGGCCCTTGGGCAGGCCTGAGGGTTTCGGCCCTCCCACCAGACGCGGCCCCTCCTCTGTGCCCAAATGGCGTCAGAGCCTGGTGAAGGTGGGGGCTTTCTTAACTAGCTTCCCCAGCCTGAGGAGACAGACTGGACTTGAGAATGTGAACAGAACTCAAGGAAAAAAAACACAGATTCTTCTCAGGCCACGCCACATTCCCATAGCTTTCCTCACAATACACCATCCTATTCGTACAATGGCATTGAACAGCTCTGTGCTGGCTGGTGTGAGTTAGGTTTACTTTCAGAAAAAAAGAGTTATATGAGTAAGAGGGGTCCCTCAAGGCAGTCAGTGAAGCGAAAAGAGCAGTCACCTGGGAGCTGGAAGCACAAGCTATCACCCCCCCCCCCGCCCCCCTCCGCCACCGCCCCTGCCCTGGTGGGACCGCGGTCATCATTTAACCTGCTTGGGCCTCAGCTCGCCCTAAAGGGGCTCCAAAAAAGCAGATAAAACTTCTTGGAAACAGAACTCTTTAATAAAAATCATCCTCAGAACCTCAAGATACAAATTAGGAGTGGAGTGGGGAACTCAGGATCTCTCCGTGCCTCAGTTTACTCATCTGTAAGTTATTACCAACTGCACTAGATTGTTGTGAGGATTAAATGAGAAAACACTTGCATAATGCTTACAATAGCAGCTAGCACAAAGTGAGTGCTGTGGGAAGTATTTGTTAAATAAACTGCTCTCACAGCAGAGGGGGACAATTTCCTATGGGGAAAACGAGACAGAGTCACCAGCCTAAGCAGGGGTGCTGCCCTGCTCCCCCTTTCCCAGGGACTGAGAAGGCAGTGCCAGGAGGCCCCTGGCAAGACGGGTCCCTTACCTGCCGAGAGGAGGTGCTGTTAACGGGATCGGGCATCGGTGCGAGAAGGCTGGGCGGGTTCTTTTTGTGAACGCTATTCATACCAGGCATTTTAGTGATTTTACAGGCTTTGCTACTAGAACTTGAGTTCTTACGCTTTTTTCCTTCTGATTTGTCAAAAGAGAGGGGCAGAGAAGACACGGCATTGTGTGAGGCCAGAGAGAAGTCCCCTGCAAGGGAGGGCACTGAGAGGGGACAGGAGTCACTGCTGCCGCCCACCGAGCCCACGTGTCTCCCTATGTCCGAGGGGCCGCCGGGCAGCGAGGTCCGTCCTGAGGGCTCCAGTTTGGCACTGAGTGGGTTCATCCCATTGTTTGAGTTGTGCATGGACAGACTGTTATAGGGAGGGGCCGCCTGATAGGAGTTCAAAGCTGAACTGGCATTCAAAACACAGTTCTTTTTGTGGGGCCCTGATAATGAAGACGAGAGGGATGTCTGCAAGGAGAATGAGGAGGAGGAGGAAGTCGAGGACTGCGGCTTCCTCTTTTTGTTACTTGGAGACTCGTCGCTACGGGCAGACAGGTCTTTGACTTTTGAGGATTTGCTGGTTTTGGTTTTGGATGGCTTGTGGGATGGGGAAGGGATGACGGCTGGTATCGGGGACACCGCGGATGGGGCCTTGAAGGTTGAGTCCATGATGCTGAGGGTTGCAGCCACATGAGGGAAAGCTGTGGTGTGTGACATGAGGGCACTTGGGTCCGGCGATGTCACAAAAGCTGCGTTTGAGAGCATGGCTGATGTCATTATGTAAGAAGAGGTGAGTCTCGAGCTGATGGGAGCTGAAGGAAGATACACAGCACTGGGGTTGCTGAAAGGCTGTAAAACGGATGCTGGAACAGGGGTGGTGATGTGGGCTGCTGGCGAGGGCATGGGGCTATCTGCCGCAGGAGGGATCTTCCTAAACATGAGAGAAGAGTGAAAGAGAAACAGTGAGAAACAGGCTTGGCATCCCTTGGAGGCTCGAGTATCAGGGCTACAGAGAAAACCCCGGTAGAACCAGACTATGGAAAATGAAGCCTTGAAGGATGGCAAAATCTGAATTATGGCCCTTCCCTAGTCTCTATGGCTCCCCCCATTGTAATACCCAGCAACCTCTTTTCAATCACTTTCAGGTTTTCAGATCCTTTTCTCCATGCCTGGCTACTGAGTTGGGTTCACGAATAAAAGGCAATCGTGATTTACAATATAACTTTCCCCAACAGACTTTGTCTCCTTTTCTCGTGGGGGTGGGGGGGCAGGGATGATGGTTGTTTTTAATGAGAAGTGGTCATTTTACACTTAGGTCCTGCCCTCATGTGAGAAGTGTAAGGATGAGGCTTTGTCACCTGCACACATGGGCCAGAGCAGCCTCTGGCCACTGCCTGTCCCCTGGCACTTCACCCTGCTCTCGGCTCCAGGCACAGTGGGGAATGCCCCTCTCCTCACAGGCCAGCCGCCTCCTATTTCCTGTCTGCAGCCTCTGGTTCCTTCCATAGAGAGGCATTCCCATGTTAGCTTGTGGCTGCTGGCTCCTATTGGCCAAGCCGTGGGAGCTGTGGGAAGCGGAGGGTCGGGGCTGGGAAATGACGCAGATGTTACCTTGCCCGGACCCAGGACTGATTTTCTCCCGTCCACCCCGCCCTGTCCCAGCTCTCCTTCAGAGGAGCTATAACTGGAGTGTGGCTGCCCTTCAACAGGTCTTCTTGTCCCCGAGTTAGGAAGCGGTGAAAGTGCAGGGACCCTTGTGTATCCAGAAAAGGGGACCAGGAATTTCTAGTTTATTCTGAAGACAAATGTAGGGTATGGGCACAGGAGAACACATGGATGGGGAAGGTCGTCCTGGAGGCTGGGGTGCAAACCCCATGACTCTTATACTCCGTGGAGCCAAGGCCAGAACCAGGTCGTGGGCCACTCTTGGGGTGCCCCTGCAAACTCCATCTTTTGACTTGTGCTAGAAGCGGCTCCCACTTCCAAGCCATGGCCTGATGTTGCTGCTACTCTGGGGACCAAGAGGGGCATAGAGTCTTGGGGTCACCGTTTGTTCCTGATTTGCAGGAAAGAATACTGACCTCAGGAATTAGGTGAATATTTTTTTTTATTTCTCACCTTTCCCCACTCCCCGCGTCCCCTAGACATCATTTCCAGCATAGCTAGGGCTCCCCAGCACTTAGGAATTCACTCTCCTTTGAAAGCAGCACTTGAAAGTGAGCAAGTCTGGGGCCTGTAACCCAGGAGCTTGGAGCAAGGTGTGAGATGGGGCTTCTCCAGTCTCCTCTCTCCTGAGAGGCCACCCTCCCAGCCGTGGCATCAGGAAACTCTAGAAAGAGGCCCCGCTGACAAGCAAATGCCTCTCACAACACTGCTGTTTCTGGGGATGCCATTTTCTGCCTGCAACAGGGTGAAGCTATGGCTTCAATCTTTAGGGTGAAATCAAGAGGAATCCTTGAATATAGACAAACAGAGTCCTTGAAAAATAGACCAAGGAGACCAAAGATAAGAGAAAAATGTCGCCAAACCCATTGTGGCCGTGATGGTGTTTGAAAATCTACTTTCTCTCAAGCCTAAAGAATGTAGAAGATCCCGTCAGCACTAAACAAGTGCTCCATTAATTGCACTATTGCAATGAATGAATGAGTAAATGAATGGATGGACCGATGGGTGGGTGGATGGGTGAGCTGGTGAATTCTCAGTAGCAACGTAACTGTGCATGCTGGGCAAGGACTTCCTTATCATCGGAGGGGAAAGGTCTAAATAGGCCCTTAGAACTGTCTGGCACTGCACAACCCCCTCCTAACAGTGCCAGGGAACGTGTCTCAGCACGTGCGGCATCAGCACACTTGCCCTGCTGTCTCAGCTGCCTTGCTTTGGACTGTAGGCCTCACACTCAATTTTCCCTCAACTCAGGTTTCTTACCAGTTAGAATCTGGAGAGAAATACATGTGGGCAGAGGTTTGGCAGTTACTTATAATAAAAAGTTATTTACAAATACCAGATGGCTCATTTAGAGAGGACCCCATTCAAAGACCTTAACTGGGATCTCTCTGAATGTCCCAGTTTGTAATTTCCCCATTCAATAGTATAAATTTATGCTTCAGTTGTGCTGACAAACTGAGCTGAAGTCCTTAATCTTGCCTCGCAGACACTCAGGATTGGGATGGGGGCTATTTTTGGGCATACTTTCTCTCCCCTTCCTTCTTATCCCACTAACAGTAAGTGGATAGCAGAGGCCGGAAGGGAGAAGAGCAGGGGGAAGCGGGGCAAGGGCCGCGTGCCTGCTCACTGTCCCCGGGACCCCCTTCCCCCCATGCTAAGCAGTTTGTGTGTCTGTCTAGGGACCAAATGACAGTGGATTTCAGCTTTGTGGGCTGTGCCTGGTTTAAGCTTTGCACACTGGCCTAGGGAAGTCCCGTAAAAAGCCCACAGATGCGAATAAATTACTGACAGTGCCCATCCTCCCCTGCCAGCTGGCACGGAGCTCCAGATGCTGACCTGGCTGAAAGAGAATACTGTGTTGGCGTCTCCTGATGCAGAGTTAAATGCTTGTTAAAGAAAAAAGAGTCTTGGCCGTTCCTTTTCTTCCTAATGTCTTCCACGCCCCCATCGGCTGCCATCCCTCCAAGTTCGGGCCCGTCCGGGCCTGGGGTTTGGGCAGCGAGGTTGAGAGGGCAGCGGGGTGCTACGCTCTCCAGAGTTGACACCCAGGCAGCCCCAATGTTGCTCAGTGACAGTAGATTGGTTAGGCAAGTCCTGAAAAGGGGGGAGGGACCTGATGCCCTGTGGCTCGGGTTTCTGTGCCTGAGGAGGAAAGGAATATGGAGCTTGAGCTGACAGGACAGCAGGTAGCGAAATACAGATCAACACATTCCTTCCACGTGCCTGGGTTTTACACTTCCACAACACAGGAGAGCAAAGAGCTGCGAGAGTCACCAGGGCTGGCTGCCATTTTGGGGGAACAATCGCAGAAGGATAAATGAACAAATAACCATAAACACGGTAACCCTGCATGCAGCACCAATTTGTTGCTGTTTAGAATGGACACAAATAGGTACCAAGAGTGCCTCTTAGACACACCGGGCAGTCACTTAAATGGGAAGAAATGATAAGCTTCTCTTGTGGCCCTTTCCTACTTTATAGGAGGTATCCTCGTTTAGTACTAAATCGACCCTGAGAATTTACTGCAGACACAACGGAGCTTACTCCTCCTAGCAGTTTAGGTCTGGCAGCTCTTTGGGCACCATGAGGAAGAGGCATAACAGCTGCCTGGGAGAGAGGAGGAAACCTGGGGGAAGGGCAAGTTTTGAATTCTGTCCCCATCCCTGCTGCCAGGACCCTCTCATTTCTCAGGAATGCCTTCCTTGCCTTTCCTGGGTTTCACTGGGCTGAGCAAGGGCTTCAGGGTTGGCTTTCTTGAACTACCTGGGCTTAGCTCTGAGGGAGCTATGACTCTAACTGATTATGATATCTTAGGAGCTCACCTTTATAGGAGTGGGGGTTGGGGAAGGCTGGTCTCGTATTATCAAGTGGCCAGAATGGCAGTTTCAAGTGCTGTGGTTTGAGAGGGTCTAGCCTGTCATTCCTTCAGAACAGCATTTTCCTAAGAAGGTTTCTTCCTTTCTTATGAAACTCCTATGAAAATGTAAATACATTGGGGGGTGTTGGAGAATAAAGGGACATTAGAGAAATGGAACATAAGCTTGGGTTTAAGTTAGAGAGAAATGTGAGTAAAGAGTTCTAGGGAGGTGGGAAGGGCCAAAGACAAGCTTAACCAACTTCACAACATCGCTCAGGATCTGCCCTGTTGGCTGATGTACGTATTTTTTCACAGGATATTAAGCAATTAGAAAGTGGTTCATAACCATGATGACATTTTTAGTATTAATTTTATAGCCTTAACATTACAAACAGAAACATATTCTTAATATCCTTAGGTGTTTTTACTCATAGCAAAAAGGCCCTTTATCACTGTTAATGAATAAGATGTTATCTAATACCCTTTTCATTTAGAAGACTACCAACACAAAAATGATCTCCAAAGACGACAAAGCATAACACACGTCGTATGTGTGTCTGAAAAACTACAGGCAAGCCATTAAGGAGAGCTGACATTTAAGAATTAATTATGAATCCTGATTTCAGAATCATTTTGTTCTATGTAAAGCAAAGATATTCATTTAAAAAGTTGGGGTTCAGATAGTTGTAGGGCAGCTCTGATCTTATATTGCACAAAAACTGCTCACTTACTTCCACATCTGTGAATTCAAGTGTTTTTCTACCATGGAGTTTAGTGCGAATCGAAAACGATCCCATCTTCTATCAAACACATAGTACCCTCGTCCCATGAGGCGACTCCCGAATGAGCAAAACTGTGAGGAAAAAAAAGTTTTAATTTTGATTACAGGTTAATAAGCTAATATAAACCATACAGAGAAATATAACATTTGCATAAAAACACACAGGGGTACAATTTTACTCAAAATAAAGAAGCAAATAGTACTGAAGCCAAAAATATTTCTGTGGTGCTTTAGTTTGAGCTCTAGATTTTCTGCAGAACATCACATTATGACTCAACAATAGTAACATTTAATTTTCTGTGGCACCGAGGGTGCCTCCTCTGCCTCTGGGATTGAGCCAGCATTTAGGCTGAGAAAACCCACACCAACAGCAACCAGCAGCCAGGTGACTTTTCAGCACTACCTGCTTATTGATTCATCCATCTTCTTAAGGAACTTGGCGGCTCCTTGCTTCTTATCACAGTAACGGAAACACCTCTTTCTGATGCTTTTCGGCCAACTGCTCATCGCTTTCCTATCTGTTGTCAACAGAGCCACATCATTTCTAACTAGGCTAACTCCTCCTTTCCTAGTGCTGACCTCCTCTCCTCTCCAGTCAGCACTTACAGGCTGCCTGGGACACACCGCTGCTTCCGCACTTCTACTCACGCTGCTCTGCCTGCCTGTCTCCTTCCCTCTTCCCCGTCCACCCCAGTCCCAGTCCTCCCTGCCCTTAGCGCTCTATCAAGACTCTCATTTCCATTGGCCTTTATCTGGGTAACATTGCCACTCTGAACTCCCACAGCTACGTGTATTGCATACTTTATTACATTTCACCCTGGAATCATGACATAGTTTTATGGTATATGTAATACCTGTGTGCCTGACATGATTATAAATGTATAAAGGCCAGGGACCCCATTCTCTTTTTCTTCAAAATGAGGATAGCAAGGACTTGGGCAGAATGATGGGTTGGAGAGATAAGGTCCCACAAAATGTTTAAATCAAACTATCACATTTAAAACATATGGCTGAAATATGGGCAGTAAGATGTTTAATAAACATCATTTTATTATGATGTTAAGACAACCAGAAATGCAAGAAGTGGCCTCTGAGAAGGTGACATTTGGCTGCTCTAGAGCTCACACGAGTCTGCAAATGACTCTATAACTCAAGCGCAGCTTCTCTCCCTTTCCCCAGGCCTCCCAGCAGCTCCTGGCCTCCATCCCAGACACAGTGCTGGGTTGGCACTCGCTCCACAAACCTTCCTGGAACAGTTCTCAGGAGCAAATGCAAGATCTTCCCTTTGTTTTGTTTCTGCTTATGTTTCGGGGGTTTTGTATTAAAATCATGCCACCCATCAAATCTGGTAATTTGATGAAAAAGTCTTTTCTGAACTTTCATATTAAGTGCTTATTGACCAAAGAAGAAAATGTGCAAAGGGAATTCTCCAGCATGAAGCTGGCCCCCAGCAGCGTGTGGGAGCTCTTCCAGGTCTAGACACCTTTTCTTCTTTCACCCCAGTTGCTAAAGACACAATGAACCAGTGTCCATTACAAAATGATTTAATATAGCAACTGACCATGACAGAAAGGACAAAACAAAGAAACAAATCTATGGCCTTTCCATTTAAATCAGCATGACATCAAGGGCACACAAATCCGTTGTGGCCAAAGCTGAGCGAATCTTCTGTAGCCTGGCAGCTTGTCATCTGGACACACATCCTGATGTGTTCCAGGCTCCGGCCTTCTCGTAGAGCCTGGTTTCTCTTTCTGACTTGGAAGCTGAAGGCACCTTTTTGTCTTTGCTACCTATATCTCTAATTCCGTAGAGATGCAAGGCTGGATGTCCTCAGAGGCTCTTGTTGCTGGTTGCACACTATGCCCTCAACAGAGCTGTAGATTCTCATTGCATTGGCCACTGCGGCGGACCCCACAGGCTTCCAGTCTCACCAACTGCCACCCACTGTCACCTGTCCCTGCCTTTTCCTGTCTAACAGAACCACACTTTTGTTCTGATATCTGACATGGAGCAGTGAGCAGGAGGGTGGGTCCATCCCATGTCACTGTAGTCCCTTCCTTCCTTGCTGTTGAGTGGTGTAGGGGTGGGCATGTGACCCACTCTGGTAGAGGTAAGGGGAAATTGGTTGGGCAGTTCACAGGAAGATTTTCTTCCCTATAAGTGAAGACTCCCTTTCTGTTTGTCCCTTTCCATCCTGTGTAAATGCTACTGGGTGAGGACTGGAGCTGTAGCAGACACGCTGAGACCAGGTACGAAAGGTGAAGAGGGTTACAGAGAGTGTCCCTCAGCTTAGAACCACCTACCTCTAGGCTTCTTTTGACATGAGATAATTAAATGACTGTAGTACATGCACTGTATGAGTTGAGTTTTCTATTACTGGTAGTCAAAGGCATTCCCAACTCTCCCTCACTATTTCTGGATTAGCCAAGAGGCAAACTCTCAGGTGTTGGTGAATGTCTGGTCCCTTCAACAGGAAGTGATTTTTTTCTTCATTCATCTCAAACACGGAAGGGAGGGGGGAATCACTCTATCTTGATGCAGGATTGATTTCACCTACACAGTCCTTGAGCTCCAGAAAGAGTCCACACTATTCCTGCAGGGCTCAAGCTGACACCAGAGCAAACCAGCCATGGGGTCCTGTGTGCCAGGCCCCCAGTATTCAGCTCTGTGATGGTAGCACCAGGCATCTCCTTCTCAAGTGCTTGTATGGCAAACATAAACAAGCCTCCAGCTCACGCCTCCTTATGTTTCTCAGCTCGATTGCAATGATCTGAATTGTTAAAGTGGGCTCTTTTTTAGGATTGGTAAGAAAATGACCTTTTTGTTTATCAGCAATCAAAGCTGATATGAAAAGCCTCCTTCTTTCCTTAACACACACACACACACACACACACACACAGTCATTACTGGTGCCATATGGTCACACTTAATAAAAACTCAGAACCAACAGGGGAGAAAGAGCTAGGGCTAGCACCTGGCACTCTGCTTAGATAGACGGTTTCTAATGAAGGTGAGCTAGACTAACTCTTGAAATCAAAGGCTCCATTTTTAGATGGGCAAAGCCAGAAGGTCAGCTCCCCAGTGCACTTAAATAAACACCATTTCTCAAGCATTATTGCTTCAAGGTGGACCACAAATACTTAGGTGCTTAAAGGATTATAGTAAGTCGGGAGACCTTTCCTTTGCTTCTGTGATTTTCAAGTGTATTTCTAAGGCAATCATTTAACCTCAGGGTTGCCTGTCCTGATGACCTCTCCTTAGGAACGCATGCCCTTTGACACGATCACTTAAATACCCACAGGGGAAATGCATGGAGCAACACATTCGTTGGCCTACCGCAAGAGGTCTAGGGTGGTGGGTGGAGAATTGACAATCTAACTTCTCGGATTCGTCGGCTCCGTCCATCTCCCCTTCATCACTTGACAGTCGGCTGGCAAGGTCACCTCCAGCTGGGGGCAGAGGAGGTTCTGGAGTGTAGCCACTGTGATTTGAAGATGTGGTGCTGCTTATGCTATTTGCAGATGATGGTCTAAGGGCAAGAGAGAACAAACAGAATAAACTTTTCTGAGGTAACAAAACCCACAGTTTAACAGAGCCCAGAAGGCAGCCCAACTATCCTTTCCAGGTCAGTGGCAAATTTGCGCAGGGACACAGTCAGGCTGAGAGAGTTAGCAGCAATCAGCTCTCTACAGATCCAGTGGAGGCGAGGCTCTGCCCTGCTTCAGTCTGGGCAATCAGGGAAAACAAAAACAGCGAGGGCAGAATGTAAATTACAGTGACAGAGTCTTCTATGAGTTCGGTTATAACTATTCAATCACTTGCATGTGACTCATCGGTACTTGCCATGTAGTCGCTTCTCTTTGAAAGTAGAACTTGACAGATAAACAAATTCAAACCAATTGACAAAGTATCAGTAATGATGAAGGACAGCCCTACAGACCCTTCCTTTTGTTTGCGCTACTGAACTATAGCTTTACGAGATTGTTATCATGCTGGCATGAGAAAAGGTTTTGTCCAAACGATGGGGCCACACGTCCCTTACCCCACAGCCAGGCCAGTTTCTTAATACCAAGCCATATGTAGTTTAATTGTATCTTCTGCAGATGAATGTTTAATTTTTGGCAAGGCATTAGACCCTCCTGCTGGCCTGGTTGGCTCATAGTAGGTGTAGAAGATATATGTTTCTCAATGAAGGAATAAATGAATTCCATGTGTATAAGTAATCCAAGAGGTCTCAACTCAATTATGGCTAAGATTACAGAGAGCAAGGTCATAGTATGAGGTAGAACTACATGCTTCCAAAGCAGTAAAAAACAAAACAAGGCAAAAACAAAAACAAAACAAACACATCCACATCAGTAGAAGAGTTAGAAGAGAAATAGTTGTCAGTTGTGTTTATTGCTTCTTAGGTGACTGATCAGGGAAAAAATAGGGAGAAAAAGTAGTTTTGGAGGAAAAAAATCAAGATTCTTAAAAAAAAAAATTGGTTTTCTACACCCTTCTTTGAAAGCTGCTCCTTCAAGTCACATGAAGCAGCACTGTTGATCTGTCTTCCTTCTCCCTCATTTTCACGCTGGATTCTTCGTTGCTATAAAATCTTTCCAAGTGTGAAATACCTGAGTTCAAACCAGCTCGTGAAAGCACAGTTCTTTAAAAACAAAACCACAAAGGGGGAAACAACCCAAATGGCCATCTATTGATAAATGGATAAACAAAATATGGTATAGTCACAAAAAAAAATTAGTAAAGTCTTACAGAAAAAACAATGAAATTTTGATACATGCTACAACATGGATGGACCATGAAGACGTTATACTAAGAAAAATAAGCAAATCACAAAGGACAAAGATCGTAGGATTCCACTTACACAATGTACCTAGAATAGCCAAATCCATAGAGACAGAAAGTAGAGCAGTAGTTACCAGGCAGTGGGGGAGGGGGAATGGAAAGTTTGTGTTTAATGAGTATAGAAGTTCAGTGTGGGAAGATAAAAAATTCTGGAGGCGGTGGTGATAGTTGCACCACAATGTGAATGTGCTCAGTGCTACTGAACTGTACACTTAGAAATGGTTAAAAGGTTAAATTTTGTTATGCGTATTTTACTATAAAAAACACACAAAAAATCCTCCAAACAAAATCATAGGTAGTTTTTCAGTGTTACTAAAACAACTCCACTTTAGATCTTAAGTTGTGAGTTTAGAGTGATTCATTTTAATATTTTGCTTCATAAATTACGTCACATATTTTTCATGTTTCAGATGTTGAATAAAAAATAAATAAATAAAACTCCATGAGTATGACAATTTATTATTGACTATCACCTTCCCATATTTATAAAAACAAGGATGCCATTCACTCTGCATGTTAAAAGTCTACAGTCCAGAGCCCACATCTCCCTAGGTACATTCTTGGGTACCTGCTCCCGTGTATCAGAAGGGGCAAGTACACTATTGTCTGTTTACAGCTGAAGACCAAAATGGTGAAACAATTTTGATGAAAACGTATAAAGAAAGAAAAGAGCATCCATAATCCTGCCACTTAAGATCAAGTGCTATTACCATTTTGATATTTCCTTCCAGACTTCTGTAGTGTGCACATACTGGCACATGCATTTTTAAACAAGAACTGGATGGACCACAGTGTACATACTATTTTGAGACATTAACAAAAAAAAAGCCTAGTGATTGTAGAAATCTTCCCATGTATAGAACTATGTCATTTTTTTAAATATTCCCCAGTATTCCATAGTATGGACACATCTCAATTTGTTTAACTAGTCTATTGACGGACATGTAAATTGTTTTCAAACTTTTTGAAGCCTTCTCCAATGTGATAGGACCCCCTTGCCCTGCAGGAGATAAAAGTTAGCTAGATTTTGTTAAGTGTGATAATTGTGTCATAATTACACAGAAAATTATCTTTACTTTTAAAAGATGCATCTAGAAATCTTTACAGGTAAAATGCCATGATATCCGCAGTTTACTTCAAAATATATCACCAAAAAATATAGATGAGGTAAATATAATTGCAAAACCTGAATATTACAACTCTTCCAACTAGGTAAAAGGGTGTTCACTAGCTCTCCTTTTCTGTATATGGGTTAAAATTTAATAACAAGAAGTAAAAAAAGGAAAAGAAAGTGAGCTAGTAGTACAGGTACTTTCTGTGTAAGAAAGTGGTGGAAGAACTTCTTGTTAAGAGGGCAGATAGACTAAACACTTATCTCCTCTCTCTCCCAAAACCCTAGTGAAACCACAGTAAAGTGGTAAAAAAAGGCATTAGCCCCAAAGAACAAAAACGTCAGCAGAAATATGGTGATAATTACAGTGATGAATTCACAGCCTCCATTGAATCCCTAAACCAATAATGAAATCTCATTCATCTTGCTAATGACTGGTTTAGAAAAGGACATGAGGAATAAAAGAAAATGTATTCTTTGGGGAGGGCTTTTGCAAAGATTGTATTCACCTTTAAAAAGAAACACAAGGAGAAGGTGTTTTCTATCCTCATAGACCTTGTTTTATCTGGATGTGTCTGAAAGTACCACAGCCATCTTGCTATAGATTTTGAAGGCTTAAGAGTGTGGACTGAAAAAAGGGCAGAGAAGCAGAGTCAATTTCTAATCTCTGGGGACAGGTACCCTTTCACCTCTGGACTTCTCATCTCATGTGATTAGAAATTTGCTAATTATTTCAGCACTTATTAAGACAGTTTTCATGCGCTGGCTGGTGTGGCTCAGTGAATTGAGTGCTGGCCTGTGAACCAAAGGGTCGGCGGTTCAATTCCCAGTCAGGGCACATACCTGGGTTGCAGGTCAGGTCCCCAGTGGGGGGGGGGGGCAGTGCACGAGAGGCAACCACACGATGTTTCTCTCCCTCTCATTCTCCCTCCCTTCCTCACTCTCTGAAAATAAATAAAGTCTTTAAAAAAAAAAAGACTAGGTTTTCTGCAAATAAACAAATGGGACTATGTAAAGGTAAAAAGTTTTTGCAAAGCCAAGGAAACCATCGACAAAATGAAAAGGCAAGCCGCCGAAAGGGAGAACATATTCACCAATGATACATTTGAGAAAGGGTTAATATCAAAAATTTGTAACAAATTTGTACAACTCAACATTAAAACAAACAATCAAATTAAAAAATGAGCAGAGGACCTAAACAGACATTTTTCCAAAGAAGACATATAGACGGCTAATAGACATATGAAAAGATGTGCAATATGACTAATCATCAGAGAAATGCAAATTAAAACCACAATGAGATACCATCTTACACCTGTCAGAATGGCTATCATCAATAATCCAACAAACAACAAGTGCTGGTGAGGATGTGGAAAAAGGGAAACTCTTCTGCAGTGTTGGTGGGAATGCAGACTGGTGCAGCCACTATGGAAAGCAGTGCGGAGATCTCAAAAAATTAAAATGGAGCTACCTTATGACCCAGAGATTTCACTTTTGGGTATATAACCCAAGAATCCCAAAACACTGATTTGAAAGAATATATGCATCTCTATGTTCATTGTAGCATTATTTACAATAGCCAAGCTATGGAAGCAACCCAAAGGCCCATCAAGAGGCGAATAGATGAAAAAGTAGTACATATATACAATGGAATATTAGCCATTTAACCTTACCATTTGTGACAGTATGGATAAATCTGGAAGGTATTATGCTAAGTGAAACAAGTCAGACAGAGAAAGACAAATACCATATGATTTCACTTATATGGGGAATCTAAAGAGTAAAATAAATGAACAAACAAAACAAAAACAGGCTCATAGACACAGATATCAGACTTTTGGTCAGAAAGAGGGGTTGGGGAATGGAATGAAAAAGGTGACAGAATTAAAAACTATAAATTGGTAGTCACAAAATAGTCACAGGGATGTAAAGTACAGCAGAGGTAATATAGTCAATAATATTGTAATAACTATGTACAGTGTCAGGTGGGTATTTAAAATATTGGGGGGGATCACTGTGTAAAGTATTTGATTTTCTAACCACTATGCTGTACACCTGAAACGAATACAAAATAACATTGAGTATAAACTGAGATTGAAAAAAAAAATGACTGTTTTCTGCTACTTGCACCTGAAAAATCCCAACTGATACAAATGTGAAGGAGAGATTTAACATATTTTAAGAAGACAGAATGTGGCTGGAGAATATTAACTGATGGGAGAGGAGCTGACCTACCACAGAACCTCCAAGAAGGAGGGCGCCAGGAGCTACCCAGAGCTGTAAAAGTCATGGATAATGTGACAGCTATGCACGGAGAGTTTAAAGTCTTAACATGTCCTACAAGTCATCACCACTACATCAGACAGCCAGATGACTTACTACCTACCAGGACCACGCTCCCTCTCCAATCAGCTCTCCAATAAGAGAAAAAAGGCTTATTTTCTAGAGAAACCGAACTGGAGAGACTGGAGACCAGGCTCAGCAGAGATCAGGAGTGAGGCACAGGGCTGGAAACACGGTGACTGTGGGCTATCCCTAGTCAGTTCCTTTGTCTGCGCTCTCAGAATGCC